TTTATAGTTTGCGGTACATTATTTTACTCTAATCATTTCGTTTTTTTGTTTTTATTTTTATTTGTGATGTTTGCTATTCTGTGTGTTGGGTAAATTTCAATTTTGATATGTAAATTGTTTAAAATTCGTCAATTTGTCAAAGTTGGTTGCGTCTATGGAGAAACCGAAGGAGAAAATCATATATTGCGTCTTGTATGCAATCTTATTTGGTTTGTTTTTGTGTAAAATTTCGTTAAAGAATTAAGTCCAAGATTACATTTAGGTTTTTCTGGGATTCTTTCTTCTTGTAAGGATCTTTAATGATCAATCTTTCTCTTGTTCATAGACACAAGTATTTGGGTTAAAAGATGAACAAAAATTCAAGTTATTGAATTCGGGTTCATGATTTGCTTTGATCATCTACTTTTTTTTTTGGTAGTTCATGACTTCTTGAAGGGGTAAAAAACCATAAAACTTTTGTCTAAAGTCTAAATAAATCCTCAAAACTACAAACAACTGTCTTTTTGTTGTTATTTTATTGTGGATTAAAAATCTTGTAGCTTCCAAAACGGTTTCTTGATTGTTGTTGTGGACTTGTGGCATATGAAAAAAAATATTGTTTTGCTGATGTAAGCTGTCTTTTTTTGTCATTTACTGAGTGGCTTCTTTGGTTTAACCGCAGAATGCAAGCTAATTTTGGAGTTTAATTTGTCTTGTCACTATGAAATCTGAAGAATATAAAAGAAGGGGTCATAGGTTTGTGTCATTTTCCAAAAAAAGTTGATACTTAGAAACTCTTTGATGAAATTTATCATGTTTAACTTGTTTGTGAATGATGCGATTTTCAGAAAACCAAATGAGTGTATGAGAGCAATTGTAACAATCATAGTTGGTATTGTTTTTGGGTTCTTCATTGGAGTATCATTTCCTGCTTTTTCACCACCAAAGGTAAATATACTTTTTGATACGAGTTTGACTTTTAAGGGTCAAACGAGTTATATTTGATTTAAAAAACGGTTAAGAGTTATTCACTTATACACAAAATTGTCAACTTGTATTTGAATTGAACTGTGTTCTAGATTAGACTTGGAAAGAATCCGTGTAAAATACGCATTTGGAAGTTAGTAATTTCAATTACCAAAATCAAAAGTTTGACTCTTTAATGATTTAAAATTGATAGCTTAAACTCATACCTCCAATTGATACGTATCTTGGAGACAAAAATTCGGGGCGTTCTACACAAACAATCTTAAATGTGATTTCAGTTACAAGGGACAACGTGTCAACTGATGCTAGAAAAATTGATGATCCTTCATTGGTATACAACTATACATTCTTTTCATTGGCTATAATATTGATTATTTATGTTTTTCTTTAAATTTCATAAATTATATATGCAGATTTATGTTTCATCTAATCCCCGAGGTGCAGAAAGATTACCTCCAGCAATACTTGCTTCTGAATCAGACTTCTTTCCCCGAAGATTATATGGCACACCAAGTGAGGTTAGATTCGTCTTTTTCATCTTTTCTTTTTCAAAAACTCATTGAATTTTTGGTAATCTCTAATGAGATCTTTATTTGCAGGATTTAACATTCAAACCAAAGTATCTTGTGACTTTCACAGTTGGTTATAATCAGAAAGACAACATTGACCAAGCGGTCAAAAAGGTCAAACTCTCTCTGTTTTTTTACCTCCACCACCTCCTGCCGCCTATCTCCGCCCTAATGGTGGTTGCTTGTACAGTTCTCAGACAACTTTACTGTCCTTCTCTTCCATTATGATGGCCGGACAACCGAATGGAATGAATTCGAGTGGTCAAAACGAGCTATTCACATAAGTGTTCCAAAGCAAACAAAAATGGTAACAACTAACAAATATTACTTCAATATATGATTGTTTTATTAGTTATATAACTTATATAACTTATAGTTGACTTTTTTGTTGACTTTTTGTTGACATTGAAGGTGGTATGCGAAAAGATTTCTGCATCCTGACATTGTTGCTCCATACGACTTCATATTTATCTGGGATGAAGATCTTGGAGTCGAGAATTTTGATGCTGAAGAGTGAGTAGTGTTGATGGAAAAATTGTTGTGTTTTGATTAGTCAATGTTTGACTTTGATGGGTTGTTTGAATCTTTATGTTTTTTAGATATATTAAACTTGTGAAGAAGCATAAATTGGAGATATCACAGCCTGGTTTGGATCCTAGTAGTAAGGGTTTGACATGGCAGATGACTAAGAGAAGAGAAGATCTTGAAGTTCATAAGTAAGTCAATGCTTTCACCATTTATATATATATATATATATATATATATATATATATATATATTTTACATAAATGGAACCTTTTTGTATGAATTTGAATTGATTTTTATGTTAAAAATAAAACTTTTTTTGTAGAGAAACTGAGGAAAAACCGGGGTGGTGTAGTGATCCACATTTGCCTCCATGTGCAGCGTATGTACAAACTCTTTGTAACAAGGGCAAATTAGTAATTTTACCGTGAAAATTTCTGACCTTACTAGTTGTGGATACAGGTTTGTAGAGATCATGGCTCCTGTATTTTCTAGAGAAGCTTGGCGTTGTGTGTGGCATTTAATTCAAGTATATTATGGCATAAACTATCATTAAAAACTTTTTTCTTGTTAAATTCAGTTATTTCCATTATCAATATAAAATAATTATTAATTTTATTAACTTCGTTTATGAATGTAGAATGATTTGGTTCATGGATGGGGTCTTGACTTTGCTCTCAGAAAATGTATTGAGGTAATACTGATTACATCATATCATTGCATGTCTTTCAAGAAACCTTAATGCATTATTCATATAAACATATGACTTTTTTTTGTTTTCTAATGAAATAGCCTGCATACGAAAGGATTGGAGTTGTAGATGCACAATGGATTACTCATCAAGGCGTGCCTTCACTTGGAAATCAGGTAAGAAGCAAATTTCCGAAATTGCCCTTGTTAGCTTGTGAGAGGGCTAGGGGAGCACCATCATCCTCCAAAATGTTGTATGAAAAAAACTGTCTCTTTTTTGGACTAAATGAACAATATGAAGTATAGTAATGTCAATTTTACCATTCTGTCCAAGTCTAACTTAAATTTTCTCAACTTGAAATGACAATTTTACCCTTCTCTTCTTCTGGTTGTAGGGAAAAGAAGAGAACGGAAAAGCACCATGGGAAGGGGTATGCAACGAATCTTGCTCTATCACATATGCATGTTGACAATGTTTTTGGAACATGTTTGACTTTTTGGTGTTGACTTTTTTTTTTTGGTGGTAGGTGAGAGAGAGGTGTAAGAATGAGTGGAAGATGTTTCAAGATCGTGTAGCCAAGGCAGAAAGAGACTATTACAAGTCAGTTGGTATTGGATCCACGGATCATGATGCAAATTGGGTGACACCCGATAGAATTCAGTAGTGGTTTAGTGATCATTGATATGCTTACATCTTATAGATCACATAGTATATGATCATTTAGAGGTGAATCTTTACTATATACAAATTTATGGGTATTAATGGAAAGATGGTTTTCTTAGAGGGTAGAAAGGTAATTAAGTAACTCGTTCTTGAAAGGTTTTAATGAGTTTGCAAAGGTTTGTGTTGGTAAGAAGGGGCAAGTTTCTAACTTGATTCCTTTAGCCATTTTGGAGAGTATAAAATCAACCTAATATTAAATAGTAAATTACATAATTTGTCCTCGTCCGAGTGTCAAATTGCAGATATAATCTTTATTTTTTAAAATTAACTCGGATCGTCCATATAATGTTTTTTTTTCTCTCGGATAGTTGTTCCTAACGAACATAAAATGACTTTTATTCTTTTTGTCTCTTTTTTACATGTTTTTTGATTTGTTTGTTATTAACAATTTAAAACAAAATAAAAAAGTAAATAAAAAACAAAAAATGAGCCCACCACCACAAACATTTATCCTCTACCCTAACCCACCCACAACCTTCCTCAATTTCTCTTTGGTTTATCTGCTACCACCGGACCACCGCGCACCATTGTCAACCTCCACCTGTTTTTCTCTCATAAACATGGTTGATGACCATTCTTCCTTTGTTCTTCTTCCTAGTTGTCCTTAAACCACCACGATCTTCCTAGCTCATGTGATACAAAGCAAAAAGAGAGATGGAAATGAAGTTGTCATTGCCACTTGTTCACAAATCTACATTCTAGGTGGTGGTTTTCGGAGGTGGCTTCGCATTCTCCACCCAATATATCCAGTGGTAACCCAATAGATCCGGTGGTAACCCAACAGATCTGGTGGCAATGAGATTTTTTTTTGCAGGTGAAGATAAAGGCGTAGAGGTGGTGGATGGTGGTTGTGGCTTAGTGAAGACATGGACCGAAGTGGAGGCACAGATCGAAACTCCAATCGACGGAGATGGCGGCGTAAATATGACGAAACCTTAGCCGACAGACACTTGGAAGTGATGATTACTTGTAGATCTGAGGTGGCGTTTTAGCGATGGTGCAGACCTGAGGCGACGTTCAGTGGTGCTAGAGGGGAAGGAGCCCAGAGGTGGTGTCGCCGACGTTCAATGCTGATAGAGATGAAGGATGCCAGAGAGGAAAGCTGACGATGACATTGGTTAGTTAGGGTTTTGGGTTGTTGTCAGGTGTGGGTGAGGAAGAGGAAAACGGCGTCATAGGGTGTCTTTAGTAGGTGCCAAGCACCGACGATGTGGTGGTGGTGGAGCACCAACGATGATCATATTGGAGATGATGAAGCAGAATATGAAAGTGAGAATATGCAAGGAGGTTCTTCAAAGAAAACAGGAAGAAGAGGAATATATGCGGGTGGGACCTAAATTATTTAATGATTTTTTAAAATTATAATTAATAATAATAACAATCTAAAAATAAATCAAAAATAAATGAATAAGGGTAAAATACACATTTTATGAATGGTTAATGATTTAAGGGACCAAGCGTGCAATTTTTAACAATACAATGGAAGATCCGAGTTAATTTTTGAAAAATAAAAACTAAACATACAATTTGATACTTGAGCGAGAGATGAATCGTTTAATCTACTCTTTTGTTTACTAGAAGTAAAGTATTAAAGTTTTATCTAAGTGATTTCATTTTTATATAATATTAGCCGTTCTTATTGGGTTTGATATGTGTTGGAACTAATATGAGTAGAGGTACACAAACCAGAATTGGTTTTTTTCTCTTAATGTTGAAGAATTTAGAAACCTTAATATTTTTTGGCTTGATGGAAAGAAAAGGAACATCAACTTTGATTCAAGCCACAATTGACATGTTGAAGCTTCTATGATGACTTTGTAATCTACTTTTTCTCTTAAGGCATAGTTTTCGAGTTTTAACAAAGAAAAATAAAGAAATGAAAATAAAATAAGGAGATAAAAGAAGAGAAATGAAAGAAAAAAACTTGTATTTTGTATTCTTGAGTTAAAGAGAAGTGAAAGAAAAGTTAAACATTTTGGTTCTTTTTTTCCAAATCCAAATCCTTCCACGTCGGAATGAAAGTTAGACGAGGAATTATTATTATTATTATTATTTTCTTTTTGTTGAAACTTGTATTTCAATTTATAAAATAAGGAGATAAAAGAAGAGAAATGAAAGAAAAAAACTTGTATTTTGTATTCTTGAGTTAAAGAGAAGTGAAAGAAAAATTAAACATTTTGATTCTTTTTTTTCCAAACTCAGATAAAGAAGTTTCTTTTATTTTCTTCTTATTTCAATTTATTTTATTTCTTTTCCCATCCTAATTTGACTATGAACATGGTGTTAGGGAAGAGGGTGTAGAACCCTTCTAACCCACTTGTCACATCAACTTTTATTTTTCATCTCTTTTTTATTTTTCCAACTCAAAACACATAATATATTTTCCAATTCATTCAACCCACTTGTTATATCATTATTTTTTATTTAATTAAATTAAAAAAAATGCAAATTTTAATGAAACATAACATTTTTGTTATTAAAAAAAAAAAGCTATTTTAAATAAAAAAATACATGATAATTAGAAAAAAAGAAACGAAAAAAAAGTCAATAAAAACAAGGTTGTAAAAAACACTCGACGGTACCTTGATGGTCTACTAAGGTTAAGAGATTAATTGGTCTAGGCGGTGAGTAATCGGAGTACCTAAATTATTAATAAACATTTTTAAAAACTTCATATATTTTAAGAAAATAAGTATTTGAAAATATAAAATTTTTGAAAATTGGAAAATATGAAATATAATGTATAATATTTGAAAATTTGAATATTTGAGAATTTAAAATTTTGAAATTTTGTACATTTTGATATAATATTTAAAATTTTGAAAAATTGATTTTTTTTTTTTTTTTTTTAAAATTTTTTCGCACCTAGGAGTGCCAATGACCGCCGATGAGTGTCAATGACCGCCAAACTCAAGTTTGATCGATATTGACCAATTTCCATCAAATATCTCTAATCGTAATCGGTTGTAAACCGCTAAATGATTAATCTCCGATCAATCGGCCACCAATGCCGATTATTGCAACACTGATAAAAACTAGACAATAATAATAAAAACTATGACATACATGGTAATCTTAAATCTCTCAACCATATTTTGTTGCAATTTATCATTTCCATTCAAGTACCATTCACAGAATCCTTTCTTTATGATCATGCAGGTTGAGAAAAAATTGCATATCTCTCTCCTGTATCTCCAACTCCAACGATTGAACTTTCCATTGTTCATTTTCTTGTACAAGACGCAACTTTTCATCCCGATACCATTTTCTCTCTTCCACATCTGCTCTATTTACAGTGTGGTTGCCGATAATTTCGTTGACGAGATCAACGATTTTCAATTGGCGTTGATGATGTCGACGCCACTTTCTTTCCTTTCGTTGTCTCGAGCGTGGTGAGTTTATTTCTTGAAACATTTGCTGTTGTTGGTCGAATCTAAGTGGAAATTGTGCATCATTAGATGTTGTGTAGGTAACTTGCAGACAAAGGCATATTTGAATTAATTAAATAATGGATTTAATTTTAATTCAAATATTTTTCTTATCAGCATCCAGGAGGTTTCTGGAAACCCTTGAAGATCTCCCAAAACCGTCCACCATTGGATGGTTCTAAAATTATTTCTTTTGTTTAACTATTGAACAATTACAATTCACCCATTGCACATTTAATTAAATTCACTTAATCCATAATTATTTCCAGATTAATTCTGATTAATAATTAATTAACTCTAATTCATTTCTCATTAATTTATTAATCATATAAATTAATAAATCATTTATTTTAACAATTGATCTCATATTAATTTATTAATCACATAATAAATTAACAAACCAACTATCTATTTCCAATTAATATATTAATCATATAATATACTAACAAATCAATTCCTCATAATTTCCACTTGGTTTATTAATCAATATAATAATCTAATAAATCATCATCTCTCTACAAATGTCATTCTAATCAAGTTCTAGTTATGAGGGCAATCCAAAAAGAACTTTGCTTCTAATTAAAAGAATGTAACACCGTAAATTTCAAAACAAAATTTTCAAATTTTTATAAAACATAATTCATTTAATATTCAGAAAACAACCATATTTAATTATCCAATTCAAGTAAATACAAAATCCCATGATCTCAAAATCATAACTCCCATGCGTGTGTACTGATCAAGCCGGCACCTTCCCGCGATCGTCACTAGTACCTGAAACAAATAACATCAAACACTGTAAGCACAAAGCTTAGTGAGTTCCCCAAAATACCACATATAACACATATTAGCTACTCGAGGCTATAACTCTGTGGGTCCGTGCACCCAAACTCTGTGAACCCTCAGGTTCTAACTTTGTAAACATGCACAACATAAATCACATAGAAATAATGCAGTACAACACATAACATACATAGCATACAAATACTCTATCACATAACTCTGGTTACCTACTCAAGGTAAAGTATAGTGAGAAGACTCACCTCGCGTGTCTCAGTAAGTCGTAAATCCTAAAATCACTAGTGCTCGATCTCCCGAGCTATAGTCCTCCTATAGCACAATACATCTCTAATTAACACTTTCCCAACTAAGGTTGACTACTCTTTAACAAGTCAACTTAGGTTAACGCTGGTCAACGGTCAACTTTGACCGGACTCGGCGAGTGCACTATAGCGACTCGGCGAGTCTGAGCGTATACACTGATTTCCCTGGAATCCTCCCTTGACACGTCGAGTATTCTCCTAACTCGATGAGTTCCACCTGGCATGAGTTGTGGGGCCACCACGACTCAACTCGCCGAGTCTCAAGAACAACTCGGCGAGTCCAGCTTGATTCAGTCCACCTGTCCACTCTGACTCCCCCTTGACTCACTAAGTCAACCCTCCCCAACTCGGCAAGACCACACGCTGTGTGGTCGGGGCAATATTCATACTACTCGCCGAGTCTATTCTTCGAACTCGGCGAGTTCGTGCCATGCAATGACTCAAACTTGCTCATAAGGTCAGATCCAATCTATTAACCCATAGATCCAGTCCTTCCAAGCTTATTTAGCACGTAAAATCACTATCTTGATGCACATACAATATCTATATGACTAAATATGATGCTTTTGTCTCAAATACTACAACTCAAGGTCATAAACTCCACTGCTATACATAAAGCTTGATGAGTGAGGCTCTCTGGACCTCTATGGATCCAGATCCAGAGTCTCAACACAAGAAGGGAACTATTTGGCATCAAATCAACCCAATAATGTCCATAAGAAACCCTAAATCCCATTATACTTCACAAAACAAAAGATGAGCCGAAATCATACCTCTAGATCGATGATCTAAGCTTCAAATCCACAGTATAGCAACCTCCTTTGCTTCCTCTTGTCTAGAACCTCCTTCTTCTTGCTAAATAACACACACAAGGTCAAGAAATGCTTCCTTTCTCTCTCAAAACGTTCAAGCACTCAAGGGTTTCTCTCTAAGGGTTGGGTGAGCACAAATGACAGCCATAAGGCCCCTTTAAATAGGTCTCAGACCCCGAAAATTAGGGTTTCACCACACAGCGTGGACTCGCCGAGTCCGGACGCGAACCCGTGCCCAAAACCGCGATCCTACGCGGCGAGTTTGGGCTCCAACTCGCCGAGTCCACTCACAATTATCAAAAATAACCCGAAATTCCGGGCTGTTACAAAGAATATATACCAATTTAGCTATTAAATTAGACTCATTAATCCAACATGTTGCTTGTAACACTCCAAACCAGGTATTACCGTGGAAGCCCTTGAAATTTTAATTATTGCATTTGCAAGTCCCTTAAGTACGATAGGTTGTCACACCCCCAAACCAAGGATGACGGAAATGTCCGGAGGAGCAGGACTTCATGTATAGTATCACAACAACGAGTATAATAGTGCTCAAAGTAAATACAACCATTATAAATATAATCGAGAAAGTTACAAGGTTTTATAAGAATACATGTTTCAAAATCGATTACAATATAATGACAAAATGTTTTGACTAACGCCGAAGCGTTCCATCCTCAAAAGCTGGTAGTCACCTGTTTTTATTGATTACCTGAGAATACAAGCAAATTTGGAAAGAGTGTCAACGATTACGTTGGTGAGT